ATTCGAGGTGCGGCCTCACCAGTGCCGAGTAGAGGGGCACGATCGCTTCCCTACTCCTGCTGGCCACACTATTTCTGATACAGGCCAGGATGCCATTGGCCTTCTTGGCCACCTGGGCACACCTCGTCGTCTGAGAGCTGAAACACTTTAATTCAACTTTGGGTGTTAGCTGTGCCTCGTGACATATACGAGATCAGACACAGCCGTCACCCTTGTCTGGGAACAAGGAGATATGGGTTGTAATTGATATATCTGCCAGTTAATCAAAAATTATGTCCATCCCATTTTTCTGGGAAAAGCCCAGGAAATCAACCAGACAAGTCTCTTCTGTTGCCATCCTTTTGTATACAGTGGCCTCTTTGAAATATCACCACTCGTTATCCACCTTGCATGGGAAAGTTAATACCGTCGTCACCCTGCTCACACCTAGGAAATGAGGTATCACCACAGAGACCCTTAAGTGCCCACTGTCTGAGCATGTCCAGAGGAACATGTCTATGAACTTTTCTACTCCATCTTAAAAAACAAGTTGTTTTTGTTTAAATCATCTTAATCTGGGAGGAAGCTATAGGAAAGAGGCGTTTTGACAGACTGTCATGATATGGGGAAGGATGGGAGCAATTTGAGACTCACTGTGATTCATGTTCAAAAACTTCTGAATCGAGAATCTCATGATTTGAAAAATCTCTGTGATTTGCTTATTATCGGGTATTTTGAGGTCTCATAATGACCAAAGCTGTAAGATTGCTGAAAGGATGGGGTCAGAGACTTCTCCACTTATCTGTCACTTGTGGTATTGAAGACCGCTGCTGATATAAGGCCCCTGTGAGAGCATCATGACTCTTTGGAGCATGTCTGTTTGTGAGGCGGCAAGAGGAACAATACAGCGTTAAGTCAAAGATGCCTCATTTTCAGTTTTCTGCATGTCACACGCCTTCAGGATTGATCTTTATTTGGTTTTTAGTGGTTTGGCTTGCTTCCATTCAAAATTGAAGGAAAGGGAAGGAAGTGCAAATTTTAGCGTGTTTTAATGCAAAATCCATCTTTGAAGAAAGGAGCAGAAAACAAAGAGTGAAGATGAGGAAAACAGCACAAGCAAAGAATCTGGAAAGATCCCCAAAAGTTACAGCCTGCTCCTTCACCCCTGCAGGAAAAAGACCCACATCCTTCCCTGTGCACTAAGGCAGAGCTTGGATGAAGGCAGACTGGTGGGATGGGTCCCCAGAAACCATCACCATGGGTCCAGCAACGGTTGACCCACCTGCCATGGTGACACCTTCCAGGGCAACCGATAACCCAGCAGAAAACCCTCTTGTATGGTTCAGCATGTTACTCCCTTGGGGACCGCTCCCACAGGACAGCCAGGCCTGGATGGAAGCTGAGGAGCACATACGAAAAATGGGACTTGGTTGCTTTCATATGCCATCCTCTGAGGGGTACAGCTCTTTGATTAAGGTTTTCCAAGACTGCAACATAAAACCTTATTTCAGCTGGGACTTTAGTTGCTTTTGAGCTCGTGCTAAATCAAGCCAATACTAAATGCCTCACCAGATTAGATTTATTCCATGACTGTGTGGCTCTTTGTGGCTACCTTGATCCGTGGAAGACAGGAGATCACATGCTTTGTAAAAGATTTGTGCACATACATGACCACCAATCTTCCCTGTTTCTGCACAACACTCAGTGATTGAAACCTGCAGGTTTGGAGCTGGTTGGTTCAGACACAATAACAATACCTAGTTTTAAACTCAGGGACTTCATGGAAAGAAGAAAAAAAATCAATAAAACCACATGGTATCATGAAATACCCTTCAAAGATGTTTTTAAAATTAACTTAACTTTTAAAGTTCTTAGTGTCACTTAAAATACTGCATTAGAAATGGTCAAACGCAGCAGTAAATTACAGTGTTCAGTTGCTGTGAATACAGGATGTCGGATTTTTGTGAAATGCAGGGGTATAAGAAAAAGAGGCTGAATTGCACTTCTCTAATGGTTAAAATTCTGTCTGCTGAAAATAGCATTTTGTTATTTTTAGTGCTGTAGTGGAGAGAGGTACTAAACTTGTGACGTGATTTAAGAGGAAGGGCAAACTAAAATAAAATAATAAATAAATAAATAAATAAATAAATTCTTATGGTAAAATTCTGAGTAATTTCAAAATTGACTTCACAGAAACACAGTTTAGTAGCTTAGAAATACTTGAAACCATGACAGGTAGTATTTTCAACACAATTATACTTGCTGTTCATTTTTTTAGTATTTCAAATCAAATTCCTTGTTCATTCACTCACACGTGTATTTATATCCTTCCCTGGACCTGTCCCTCTATTTCTACACCTGTTCTGCCAAAATAAAGTATAGAGCTGTCTAGAACTCACCTCACTTTCAGACTGGCTGGTTACTTTAAATGAGTTTTTATGGTGGTGGTGATGTAACCCTTAGCCTGAAATGTCAGCACAGTTTTCTTATTAACACACTGCCATAGACCACGCTTAGATATATTCTTTTCCCTCCTTCCTCTTGGCATTTGCCAGGCAAAGCAGCTAAACCACCTTCCGTATTGGCTGCTCCTACCCCAATTCCTCCACCACCTGGAAGGAGGAAAGGGCTGCTTTTTTCAGGGGACCCTGGACCAGCAGAGAGCCGGTGACTGTCTAACCTGGCAAATACAGAACTATTTTAAGTGCATCCACTTTCCTGGCCAGTCCGCTTTACTGTGTTAAACTCATGTTACAGCCCAGATGTCAATGTCTATTCCCAAGATGACGTTGGGATAGCAGCCCTATTGCTATGAGAGCGCTAGAAACATGCACACCTTCTCTTTCACCTCTCCATTCTTCCTTTTATGAGCACAGCTGGGCTGATGCTGCTTAGACCGTACCCAAGGCAGGTACCATGTTTCAGTGGCACATCATTGCCAGTAACGTCATCAAGATCTTAAATGAGCTCTTCCAGCAATCTGCAACCAGGGCTCAAGAAAACTGTGGGCTAAGAAAGCTGGTCAGCAGACAATTACTATCCCTCACTTAAAAGCTGTCCATGCCTGGAGACATGGTTAGACCTTGAGTCGATATTGTTAGACCTTGCATAGGCCGTCCAACCTGAGAAGCATAGCAAGGTATGCCCCATCACTGGTTCCCCATGGCCAACACAATAACTATGACCAGGGCTGATCTGCACCAGAGGAAATGACCAAACGTATGTATGAAAGCTCTGGGATCAATTGTGCATGTTCCTTCTGTCACTTCCAGGGCTCCAAATGCTCAGAGAAGGGGTAAACTCTGCAGCTCCATGGGTTTTTGTGTTGCTTTCAAGCCAGGCTCCTCTCCTTGACATACTTTTCATGGGCTGTAAAAGTATCAGGAGACCTGGCAAGACCGCTGGAGCTCAGTGCCTCTGACTAGAGCTAGAAAAAGCTTTACTTCAAGCAAAGTAACTCACAGCACAGATCCTGGAAAATTCAATTCAGTTCCATCCCAATAATTATTACAGCACACCAATAGATCTTCCTTTATTTATTTTTGCAAGATAGAGGACAGTGATGTTAACACTAAACTAGAATTCAATCCATCATAGTAAAATTCATCATAAATCTAGACTAAGTTTAGCAGCTGACTTTGAAATTGCTATAAATGAGACTTCACAGCCTCTGCAAGGCTCATAGCAGAATCTATGCAGCCATCGAAGTTGGAATGAGTAAATCCATCGCCCCCACAAATCAGGAGAGGTTGAGTATGAAGAATCATTTGTCCCAGACAACTGGGCACAGCTTTTGTAACCTGAAAAAGAAAAGCATACAGGGAGATGGAAAAAAGTATTTTATTTACCTGAATTTCACGCCAGAAAGGTCTATATTCCTGAGAAACACACCTTCATACGAAGCACCCCTCCCGTCCCAGATCATAGGTCCAAGCATTAACAATCAAGGTACCATAGTAAAATATTTATCTTCTGGAGTTAAATAATTAGAATAAAGCTTTCCTGTATGTGGAAATTTAGAAACTTTACAGTCCCATTCTGTCTTATTCTCAGTCCGTCTCAGCAGAAATGAATTGACTGACCCTGGATAGATGAGGCATGGAGATCTCTAAGCCAAATGGTATGAAGATACATGATCTCACATCAGCAAAGGTGGGCTTGAAAACCCCCCCAGATATGTAACTCTTCAACAAAGGAAAGGGAGTCTGCTGTTTCCAAGAGGGCCTGCAACACTATTGGGTTGACCAGGTGACCTTCCTGGATGGGAAGTGAAGTGGACTTCAGAGTAACAGCTGTCATGATGACCTGCCCATGCTTCATGCTGCTGTGCAAGCGTACATACAGCCTTGGGACAACCCACCCTGTCTCCAGCTCTGCTACGCTGGTCTCCTTTCTCATCTGAGTAGCACAACAATTTTTAGACACTGCTGGAGATACAATCAACGCTTTCTCTGTAAGTAGCATGGGAAAAGTTCTGAATAAGGCTGCTTTGATAAATATTTAATGTCATTCTCAATGTATGCATTGTATTCATTTCAAATATAATTTTCCTGGCACTATGCCCTCAATTAAGCTTGTATCTGTGGAGTGGCAGCTCTTGAGCAGTTCTGTGTAACATTTCTAAAAGTGAAGGGACTTTGCTTTGGCCAGTACCTATTAACCTGAAGCTACCTGGAACCCATGGAGAGAGCAAGACCTCTTTTTGGTATTGTACTTTATGATAAACACCAGTGCGTGTCAAACGGCAGAGTAAAAGCACACAGCACTTGTGTTTTTACCACACTTGGCTGTGTCACACGTCGTTGTAGCCTGTTTCAAACCTATGTATAAAGGCAGAGTGTCCATATTGTACTGAATCAGTGCATCCCAGAGCAGCACTGGTGAATCTCAGAATGGAGATAAGGCAACAGCAGCACTGGTCTAAAGGTAAACGTGAGGGCAAGGCAGGCTCAGGCAGAAGAGATAAAAAAGATAAGAAGATGCAGGACAGCTTGATGATGAAGTGATCGGAGGAGGAAGGTGGGAAAAAATAGTCCAAGAAAAGGAATGACAAAACAAGACCCATAAGGATGAAATGTTGAAAAAGAGGATAAAATATCTAGAAAGCCAGAGAGAGAGGGGAAAAAAAAAAGAGCAGAAGCACAGCACTAGACCAGCAATAGAGATCAAACCATAGAGATCATAAAGCATGATACAGAGAGTACAATTTTCTTTCCATCACTTCTTGACTTTCTGCCTTTGGTCCAAAGATACGTTTTGGATTCAAAAATATCTTTTTGTCCAAAGATATGTTTTGGATTCCTGTGCAGTAAACGTTACTGTATCCCATCGTGTGACTGTCAGCTTTGGTGAACAAGACCTAAAGTTCAAGACATCTTGTTCAGTCCAGGGGATTTTTCCATTGATTCAAATGTACACTCAGCTAGCCACTGCTGTGCCGTTATCTGCCATTTCCATATGGATCAGCTGAAAAACACCCACATTTATGTTACTGGCTGCATTTTGTGTTACTGGCATGTTAGCATCTCTTTAAAGGAGGTAATTACCTGAAATGAATTTGTAGTCAGTTGCGACTCATTCTCCATTATTCAACTTAACAGAAGAGTCTAGCCATGTACGGTAATGTTCTCTCTCAGCCAGAGATCGTCTTTCTCAGACTACTTTTAGGTCAGTACTTAATTTATTCCTAAATTTTTCTTACAGATCGAGGTCACAGAGCATAAAAAATGAAGAAAGGTTTAGCAGAAAAAGGCTTTTTGAGTGTCCTTCCTTCTTGACTACCCAGTGCTTATTTGATGCTGGCTGTACCAGACAGCTTCTGGTTTGTCATACTGATCACAGGATCAACATTGTCACATCACAGCCTGCATCTTTTCACCTGTGTGGCAAGATTGTGTGCTCAGTGTAGTAAAGGCCCTCACTCTAGACATAGTGACTGGGGAAAGGAATGATCCTGCCCCTTCTGCAAGTTCTTCTGAAGGTGTTGTCCAACATAAATTCCAAATTACCCTCAGCTATATGGCACAGCCTGTTGGATCTCCATCCTCGAAGACTTCAAGACTCTGTTAGACAAAGCCATGGTCGAGGTCACCTAGTGCTGGCGATAGTTATGCTTTGAGCAACAGGTTGGACTAGAGATCTGAAGAGGTCCCTTCTGAGGGCCCCTCTGAAGAGGTCCAATATCTATGATTCTGTGTTTTCCCAGTATCCCTTATACATATAAAGTGACTCTGACAAAGGGACATGATGGGTTGGGAAGCTGTTGGCTCTGAATGCTAATAGTGTCTTATCGTAATTAAAGCAGGGGATACAGAATTGCAGCTGTGCTGCTAAGTAGTATCAATAGAAGTTTGGAAGTCCTAATCCCTCATCCGCCATGGATAATTGTAATGTCTGCATTTTAATCCCAGGATTGTGTTTGGCCCTGTGAAGAACATTACAGACGGATTTAATTAACAAGTAGGATAAATCCTGTCTAAAAGAGTCAGGGGAAAGATGCACCCATCTTACCAGTTCACTTTGCTTCTGTGGCAACAGCTTATTATAATTGAAAGTAAAGATAGCTTTAAGAGAAAGAGGGACCTCTGTCCCAGATATTTAATTTAGGTAGTGATTATTTTATAGGGTGGCAATAGAGATCTCTTTATTGAGATAACGGATCTGACCTAAACTGACTTATTTGCCATCTAAGACATATTGACATTCATCCACCAAATTAAAGACTGGTGATAACTCCTCCTGTGACACAGCCATAAAGCACAAGCAGCTGCTGAAGTCAGTGGTTTTGGTTAGTAGCAGCATGGTCGATCGCAGGCAACAGAGGCAGGAGAAGAAAGCGGGAAGAGCTGTAAATTGTATGGTGGTTTGAGAAAATAATAGAGCATCACCCAGCAGTATGATGTCTGAATGTAATTGTTAAATAAGGGAAACAGGATGCATACCTAGTGATTGAGGAAGACAACAATTTTGAAGCAGTTGTGGCAAATAAGAGTTCATTCCTACAGTCACTGTTCCAGCTACCTCTAAAAGATGAAGCAATAGGTACAAGGTTATAATAAATTCTGTATGGCCATAATTTTGCCAGGATTCAAAAAGCATAGTTGTTTGGTAGAATGCAATTGAGACTTTTTTTTTAATTCAGTAGTAAGAAATTAACTGCCGTTCTTGTCTTTTCCTTTATCCATGTTTTCACAGTGAAATAAATCAGAATGGGCCATATATGATGCATATGCTTATATGTCACCTTTGATACTATGCTAAAAGTGTGAGTAGTGCAAGGAAAAGGCATATTAAGCTCTTTCCTTGCACATATAAACAAAGTAGCTGAATTTGACAAATTTTATGATAGAGCTCTGTGATAGCAGCAGTATCTAGGGTGCATTAATTCTGTTTAAAAATACTTCTTTCTTTGTTTCGGGAGTCCTTTCCAGAGCTGGTCAACCAAGTGTCTGTCTGTTGGAGATAGATCCAATTCTTCTCCTCCCTACCACGTGCAGCTCTTGCGCTAGCAAGCAGTTTGAAGCAGAAAGGTAACAGATAATGCAGAAGGAAAGATCAGAAGTCACAACCAGAAAAGGATGCCTTAACAGTGACAACAGTACAGAGATACTGTTACTAGCAAAAAAACCCCTGAACTGATAAAGAAGAACATATAAAACATACCATGATTTTTGTATGAGTCATCTGAAACATTAAAACCTATGTTAAGGTCGTTTTTATATGAGAACTGAGAATAAATACTATGCACTGGGAAGTGATTTGCAAACTACCAATACCTATCTCGCAGAAAAATAAACTTTGTGCTAATGAGACCAGGTTCCTAAATTGGATGCAGATCAAGGGGTATGAGCAGACTTCACAACAGTCATCTACAATAACTTTTCCAGACTTCATAAAAGGAAAAATTTTTAGGGGACTGCTTTAAGTAAATATTTTGCATCAACTTCCACATTCAATTTCACCAGTGTAATTTAACTTAAGAGGCTTTGGGTAAACATGTAGATACACTCCAATACTTTAGGAAATTGCCAACAATTTCCTTGGATTTTTAAAAGAAATCTGTAAAATATACACATTTTGCTATTATTACCCTTAGGTAGTTTACTTTAAAATATTTTTCATATAGCATACAGTTAAATTGAACTGGGCCAAATCAAATAATAACAATTAGTACGTCTGAACACAAGGACTTCTGCTACTCTGTGGTAGGGTGGGAATTTTGCTAATAATATCACATACTTTCAGATACAGAAGAGACAGATTGAGTCACATTTTTAAATACCAGCGAAAATCCCACCAAAGTATGTGGGATTTACTTTCTTCCTGTGCACTGCTCCTGTCCCTGCTTACCAGGAGTGCTGCATAACTTACCGCTGAGCCAGGTCCACTATGTAAAAAGATGACTAGAACTGACCTGCCTGTCGTTGGCCAGCCTTGGATGCTGCTCATGACTATGTGGAGGAATGTATTACGGATATCGAGCAACTATCCCCTTTCCTCTTGCTCCCCAAGGATGAAAACCAATGGGTCGTATGATGTCTTTGTGATTCTTGTGATAAATCGCAAGTCTGTACCACAGCATTGCCCAAGCAGCATCTTCCCAGCTGACTGATCCCACTACAGAGTACCTGAGAGTATCTCCATTTCTGACACTTGATGCTGACTGGTTTAGGTAGGGATGGCACAATCCTCTCCAGGTGACTGAGAATTAACTGCTGCACCTCTGCAGGGTCTGAATCCAGGTGCTCACTTCCAAACATCATGGTTGTGTGAACTACAACTGAGGGCCCAATTTCAGGAGACTCTGAAATAAAGGAGAGAGATGCTTTTGAAAGATTACTCATTAATGCTTGCCCTCCTTGCACGCTGACAATTGTGCCTCTAGCCTAGGAGTCAATAAGAATGAAAATATCTGTGGCACCACCCTGTTCTTCCAGCTGGAAAAAACACAAGGAGTAACAACACAAGTTGTTCACAAGAAGCACAGTGAAGAAATCCAGGCTTTTTGCAAAATTTGTGATGGTTTTCCCACTGCAATAACCCTAGCTCCACACTTGTCTGCTAGAGGAACCTCAAGGCATTCCCACACCCCATAAGTAGCAGCTGGAACGAGCAGGGAATATACTGGAAGCAAACTCTTCCCCTTTTTCCTCCCAGACATTTCAACAGGCTCTACAAGGAGGGCAACCACCTGGCGATTGTGGCAAACTGGCAAAAGAGAACACGAAGAAACATGTAAAACTGCTTTGAAGGAATTTTTCCAGCCAGGTCTACAAATAGTAAAAATTAGTGCCCCTACAACCGCAGGGCACTCAGAGGCACACGGTCACAGCCATCCACCTGCAAGGTCTTGCTTGGGTGGTGGTTGTGGAGGTGAGGCTTCCCAAAGGGCTACACTTGCAGCTGGGACTCGTGTTATCATTGGCAACAGTAAAGGGGAAACCCTTTAACAAAGGCTGAAGCTCACCCAGTCATGTGGTAAGATTAAAGTATTGGATGATGCACCTTTTTTTTTTTGGATGGAAGATTATTCTTGGAAATGGAATGGCTCTGCTGCCGATTGCAGGGATCAATTCCCAGGGGCTCAGCACTCTGCTTACAGCCGAAGGCACGTGAAGTCCTTCTGAGTGCAGCAGCGCATACCAGATGTAAACCAAACAAATTGCAGTCGCAGCCACCGCAAGCCTGACGCAGGCAAGCCACCGCACTGACAACGGCATGGCTCTGCCAGCAAGTCACCTCCTCTGTCTGAACGGCTGGAGGAGTGCGGGCAGCCAGGTCACCACAGCCAATTTGCTTACCCACCTATATCAGACTAATTCATATTCTTCCTCCCCTGCACGTTTGAAACGCATGTCCCCTTAAGGGGACAATCTCTGCAACACAGAAATACAAAAGACTTGAACATGAAATCATCATGAGATAAAAATTATCTTTAAGACAAAGGACAAAAAAAGAAGAGTGTTTGTTGCATTACTGTGAAAAACATCTGCTCCCTCTATAATTTGTTGCATATTGGCCACGCAACAGTATTCACACAGTTGAAAGGCTAGAATAAAACCAATACTTTACATTTATGGAGGGGGAGAAGGGGAACAGAAGCCAGGGCAGGTTAGCTTGAGAAATCAGCACTTTCTTTTGGCCTGCACAAGTGAACTCAACTTAAATTTTGCTGCTCTAGCAACTTCCAGGAAATCAATGTGCGGTTGTCTACATGCATGTTTTGGGGAGTATGAACCTTCAATACAACTTCTGTCCTTGGGCAAATACGTGCAAGTGAGCAAAACTCAAAAAAAGAGTTTATCCCTTAAAAATCAACCAGGCTGCAGTGCCAGGGGAGGAACTGAAGGCAGCTCAAGTGCTGATGTTCATCCCAGCAGACTTGGAAATGGCCAAGCTTCGTCACAGCTGGGGCTGGTAGTAGGTTCTCTACAGCAAGGGACTTCCGTCCCCACCAGCTTGTTGGCTTGTCACCTTACAGACTTGGTCTGGACAGCCAACAACCAGCAGCCAGAGAATTTGCCTAGAATACAGGATTTTCAGGCTCAGTGATTTTCCTGTGCCAAGGCACGATGAGGACCCAGCAGATCCTTGTGTGAGTTGTTCCTGCTGGGGCTGTACTACTTCAAATGAGCAGGATGCATTTGCTGGAGCAAGGACATGACCTGGGTTCTGCTATATTTCAGCCGAGAGCTCAAACTCACCAAGCTGGTCATTAAATTAAGCGATTCCCTCTTGCTCCATTAACCAGAAATTGCCTCTTCTGGCTAAACCTTTGTTTGAATTAGCACATTCCTAGAAAAATATTTTAGTTTCAGCAAATGAGCATTTTATGACCAAGGAATCCACAAAGAAAGAGGCAGCTGAACACTTTCTGAACAGTTCTGGCTGTTAGGTACCAAGCTTGATAGAAATCTTTCTCTCTGCTGTGTCAGTGAAGAGATCTCAAGCTCCAGCTCCTCCAGCTGGAGATCCCCTTTGAGAAGATGACAAATTCCAGCTTTCCAAAGGCAACCAAAATGTCTTTCTTTGATGAGCTTTCTGTCCTGGGCTGATCACTTCAGAATATGCTACTGAGGCACAGCAGTACCAAGTCCTAGCACCCACAGGAAGCATGAAAGCAATGGCTTTAACTTCACTTGGAAGGATCCCTTCACTGAGTCTCTTTCTTGGGCGGGCCAGCTCAGTCAACCCTTGCTCTCGAGAACTGGGAAAATGTGGCAAAAACAGTGGGAAGATGCTTTCTGGTTGTGATCAGGAATGCACCCTGACAGGCCATGTCTGAAGGCACTGAGCCGTGGTGCTGCCTTTTCTTAAAGTTCTCCTTTTCCAAGTAAGGCAGTCCTAAGAGCAGAAGATCACTCACTTCACTCCCTGTGTTGGGCTCACAAGCTCTGTTTTCAGCAAGTACTAGAGCTCTTTTCCTGGGTGATTTCCTGAAGTGTCCAGAAACTCTGCGTTTGTTTCCTATTTTAATCTGAGGTGCTGATTTTGCTCTCTTGTGTCTTGGGCTTGAAAGTAAGCCTTAACCATCGGGGATGGACAGGTCCAAGACATCCACCTGACAAGGATTTGGGATGAGGGCAAGGCAGATCTGGGGACTAAGACCATAGAGTGAAACAAGGACCACTCTTGTCTAGAAGCAGAGGCTCAGCCAAAGGGGCCATCTTCTTCCCTGAGCTCTGATGAACTGATTGCCTGAGTCTAACATCCAGCCTCAGATTCATGTTCCTGAGATTCTTCCTGCCACCCCCAAGCCCAGTTTCACAGGCTAGCACAAGACATATCTCTGTTCATGTCAGCTTTTCCAACTGTCTGGAAAAACGTCAGAAACGCTACTCAGCCTCTCCTTCCCATTTTGGGGGAGAAAACAGGTATTCTGATGTCTCTACATAGAGACTGTCAGGGACAGAAGACCAAGTGGGGAAGCCTATTAGGTACCTTGGGATTTATTATAGTGTACTTGGTATTTTGGCAAATTCTTCCACATAAACTTGGCAAAAAGGCTCACTAAAAGACGTCTAAGCATTTTAATAAAATAAATATTCATTGCTTGCTGTGACTTGTTATAGCTAATGATTCTTGGACAGGGTTGCCTTCTTTCAAATCTCTCGTCTCTTCCATAGCATGTACAAAACAAGTTTCAGGAGAACAGGCAGTTTGTTGAGTTTTTAATTCCTCCTTTGAGCTACTGATAGCTTGGAGAGCTTCCAGAGGCCACTGAGTCACAGCCTTCCAGTACTGAAATATGCAGCCTGCAAGGATCAAGTTTAGCCTCAAGCCCTTTTCTTTCTTCTGTAAAAACACTGGCTAAAAGAGAGGAGTTTAAAATAGATTTTTCCCTGAAAGCAATGGGGGTATCTCAGCCTTGATGTGCTGGGTATGAACGACTGTTCAGCTGTCGCAGGAGTAAAACCATCATTTTCCTCCCAGTGTGTTTAGACCAGGCTGCAACAGCTAGCTTAAAAACAAGGGCTTCTGGCAGGGCTTCTCATGAGATTTTAATTTCCTTTATTTGTGGCAAGGATGCAAGCCGTCCATGGCCATGCTAGCAGATGACGAAGTAGTATGGGAGATGTGGCAAGCCCGGGAATGCTCGGCAACGCGAGGGGTAATGATCTGAGGGTGAATGGAAGCAGCATAAAAGCTTTCATATGCTCCCAGTTCTCCCCCCCCTCATCCCAGCTGCACGGCAATTAATCCGATCAGTTGATGTGGTGGAAGGCATAAGACGCTGGGTAGATCAGAGCTAGAATGAGATGGCAGAGTTGGCTGTGGCTTATACCTACTTAATGAGCAAGGAGCCGCTCTGCCAGCATTGGCAGCGTCCTCGGCATCCGCAGCTGCTGAGGGACCCCACTGAAAACCTACGAGCAGCGAGCTTGCGCCTGGCTCTCCTTCCTCCATCCAGCCTGTGCTGCATCGCCGCAGCGGCGACATCGGCTGCAGGGGCTGGGTGCCTGCCCCTCATCCCCTCTGGTCTGCCTCCGTTAACTCGCACCAGGAGGAAAGTGGCTTTTTGTGCAGAGACCCTGTTGAGGCTGCAGCCGGGGAGGGAAGCGCCAGCATCATCTTGTGCAGCGATGGCAGTTTGGTGGACGTGGTTTATACCCAAGGTTCAGACTCTCCTCTTCCCCATGGCATAGGGAACACGCAATACTATTACTACAGGTTTCCTTCGCTTCTGCGTTTTTTCTTCATTTTACTGTTAATTTCTTTTGCTCTGCTGCATCGCACAGGACTGACACAGGCAGATAGTAGATGCAAAGTGACGAAAGTGAGGATAAACACATTCCTTTCAAGACTCATTTTGCTTCCATGTAAACAGAAAAGAACTGTGCAATCTTTGGCATATCACCCCATCCAGCCCAGCGTCCCATCCATGGCAGGGAAGGTGTCGCAGGAGCCGCTACATCCCTGCCTGGCCCAGGAGCAGCAGCTGGGGCTGTGCGGACCCTGCAGACTGTGGAGTGGCTGGCTCGTGGGAATGGGAAGAGGGGCAGAGCCAGGCTCTGATGTAGGTCCCAGATTTAACATGGCCACCCTCCTTGGAATATCTTGCCCACCACCATTTCTTGGCCACCACCACTATCTACATGCAGTCATTCTGAGCAGCCTGCAAGGCTGAGCAGAGTAGTAAGGATGAACAAATCCCAGTTTTTTTGTCTCAAAGTCAAAGTATGAAGTTCCACCAGTCCCCCACAGACAAGTCTAGTCCACAAAAACCTTATGGGAGACGCTGAATCACTTCAGACCAAAGTCCGGCTGCACTGTCAGTCTGATCAGCAGTGTCTTCCCCTCTTA